TGGAGAATCCCATGGCCAGAGGAGCCTGGCGGGCTACAGTTCACGGGGTCACGAAGAGTCGGACACGACTGAAGCGACTTAGCACTCACACCATATAAATAAATAAATATATATATGTATATATGAATATATATGCATATATATACACACAATGGAATATTACTCATAGATTTTTAAAAAATGAAATTCTGCCTTTTGCAATTATGTGGATAGACCTAGAGAATATTATGCTTGTTGAAATAAGTCAGAGAAAGACTAAAGCTCTATGTGTCACTTATATATGGAATCTAAAAATAAAATAAATGCATATAACAAAACAAATAGTCTCACAGACATAGAGAATAGAGGGGACATAGTTGGCAGTTGGGAGAGGGAAAAGGGGAAGGGCAAGATCGGGGTGTGGGATTAAGAGATACAAACTACTCTGTATAAAATAAGTGAGCAACAAGCGGGTAGTCTACAGCACAAGGAAATAGTCATTATTTTATAGGAGCTTTAGGTGGGATACAATTCATAAAAATACTGAATCACTATGTTTTACGTGTGAAAATGACATGTACAATATTGCAAATCAGCCAAACTTAAATAATAAAGAAAGCAATTCAGACCCAGGTCAAGGAGGGTGATATACTCAGAAATTTGGAATTTATTTTGTATGCAGTGGGAGGTCATAAAAAATTTCCAATAGGCAACTGATATAATCAAAGCTCTGCTGAGGAAAGAGTACTTTAAAAGCAATAGATAAAGATAACTTTGAAAGCCAGATAATAAAGTTAGGGAATCCAGTTAGGAGACAATTTCAACACTACAAGTAAGAGAAAATTGGGTGCTGAACCGAGGTAATAAAAAGAAGTCATAATTTGTGGGACTCAATCAACAGATCTTCAAAATTACTGGAGGTTAGGGGTGAAGGGGCAATTTTAGATGATGAAGACTCCGAGTTTCTGAGCCAGTGATTGACAGACTTGATAATGTCATGCCACAGCTCAGAAAGATAAAAAGGTAGGAGCTGCTTCTAAGAAACCTATGATTCAGGATTTGGACCTGTGTTTTAAAACCCCTAGAACCTTCGCTGGCCGTGCTGCCCCATAAGAAGCTGACATGTTTTACTCTCTGAAGAGAAACGGTCTTAGAAATGTGGAATTGGGGTCATTTGCCATCTGCAAGGAGAAGATTGTTGGGAACATGGGGAAAGAATTATTTTGAGAAAAAATGAAAATAGGAGAAAAGTTTCAGTGACATTTAAGGGGTAGAAGGAATAACAAGAGAAGGTTAAGGAAACTGAGAAGAAAATGGCCCCAAAAAGTGAGCAGAGAACTGAAAAATTCAGTGTATGAATACCTAGGAACCGTTTGAAGAGTGGGGTGTCAGTGTTGTCCAATGTTTCAAAGAGGCTGAGTATTTGAAACCGCTGAGAAAACTGTGGGCTACATTCCACATTCTGTCCTCAGCATGCTCTGTCAAGGAGAGGTGTACCATATTTACAAGTTTCTTTTTATAATCTATATACTCTTGTAAGATTTCCAAGTAGTGAGCTTGAGTTAACTTTTAAAATCATATATGGGCAGAAAAACATGGAATTCCCTAAAGGCAAATGAACCAATGGAGCTTTTTTCCAGACTTCTTTTCCCAACTAGATAACCCTTTCTTCAAGCCAAACCTTACTCAGAAGCTCAATTTCTAAAATAAATAGAAGCTGCTCTGATGCAAGATAAGGGAATAGAAGAAAAGTAGTGAATACTCTGTGATCTCTCCAAGACTGATCAGTAGTTAGTAGATAGGTAGATTGATAGGCAGACAGAGAGAGGATGGATAGATAGATAAATAGACAAACAGATTTTAACATCTTCATATTCCCAATAGAACATAGTCTTCACAACAGCAGAGACATTGTCTGTCTGGCTTACTGCTACAACAGTATGTGGCACTCAGCACTAAACAAAAACATTAGTGAATAAGTGAATCTGGGCCTCCTAACCGTGGTACAATGGGGAAGAAATAAAATTTACATGTATTGACTGTCTACTATATACAGAATTCTGGGCTATCTGAAAGTATGTGAATTAATGTTATATAACAACCCTGTAAGTACATGCTATTATCCACACTGTATCCATAAGGAAATACCTGCTTGTAGAGCTTCCCAAAAAATGCATAATTTGGCCAAGGTAGAAATCCAACCCAGAGGCATTTAGTGCCAACACGCAAAACCTTCCTTCCTTACACCACCATGTCAGGCCACTCTTCCCGTCTCACTTGAGGATAATAACCTGGCCTCTGACAGCCTGTGGCGCAACTCATTTAAATAAGTTGTCTGACTCTTGGTTGAGAAGCTCTTTACACCAAGGGACAGTGGGCACAATTGAGAAAGGATAGAGAATAGGAGAGCAGCAATAATCAACACAGTTCTTCTTACTGATGGTGCCGGTGCTTGAGATGAGAGGATAGGTAGAGTTCAATCAATAAAGAGCAATTTTGGCTGGGATCAGTCTGGGGCCTCTGCTAACCTGAGCCAGACTTGGCTGATACTGTTAAAACATGTGCTTGCATCTATGGCTAGCTGCTAGGCTGGGGTACACTAGTTCACTAGAGCTGCTACAACAAAGTACCACAGATTGGGATAAAGAGCAGAAACGTTTTTTCTCACAATTTTGGAAGCTAGAAGTCCAATATCAAAGTATCAGCAGGTTTAATTTCTCTTGAGGTCTTTCCCCTTGCATTGTAGATGGCCAACTTCTCCCTGTATCTTCACATGGTCTTTATTCTGTGCACACACATCTGTGTATAAATTTCCTCTTCTTATAAGGACACTGGTCATATAGGATTGGGCCCAATCTAAAGACTGAATTCTAATTAATGTCTTTAATGACCTATCTCCAAATATAGTTACATTCTAAGATTCTGGGGGTCAAAACTTCAACATATAAATTTGGGGTGGAACACAGTTTAGCCCGTAACAGTCGGCAAGCAGGCAGCTAGCCTAAGAAGTGTCAGCTGGCCTCATTGTCTCCGTTCCATTCAATGTCTCATCCTCCAAAATGCTAGCCTGAGTTTGCCCACAAGATAGTGATCACAGACATCGCAGGAGAGAAGGATAAAGACTGCAGGGCCTCTCCAGGTTTGAGTTCAGAACAAGAACATCATTTCTGCCACATTCTACTGGCCAAATCAAGTCAAAAAACCAGCCCAGATTTGAAGGATAAAAAAACTAGGGGCCATTTTTGCAATCTACCCTCCCACTCCCACACCCAGGGAAACCCATATGATACAGTTTTCACTATTAGGTTGAGACCCTGGGAAAATTATGATCTGATGAAACTTGTTTTTCAGCCCCATCCTCATCAATAGCCTTTTTTTCAATGCCCCTCTCTCTTCAGCTCTTAGACACTCCCCACCTTCCATTCTACATCAAAAGAGAGTCTCATAAAATCATTCTTTCCTGAGAGTAAATGAGTGAGGTGAAGGTGATGGCTTTTCCAGAGATAACTGTATTTTGGTAGAAGCCTAAGTCTTAAGCTAAGGAGTGGAGCACTGTGGCAGAATTTCTAGCAACAAGAGGGAGTAGGAGAAACTTCCTTAAGCCCATGAAAGTTGCTTCACTACGTGGAACAAGAAACGTCTTCTGTTTGTTACTTTCTACATACTGAACATGAAGCCCACTCCAGCAGCCGCTCCATGAACACCTAGTGAGTGTTGTAAGGGTGACGTGAGGGTGAAGGTTCTAAGGTGAGTGATCATGGAAGAATACTACTATGAAGAGGAACCGGAAGATCTGGGTCCCAGGCTATTCTTAGCGACTGCTCGGCAATTGGACCTTTGACAAGCTATTTTCAGTTTCTCTGAATCTCAGATGCTTTTTCATTTTCCAAACAAGAGGTCTCGTGAGGTGATCTCTAGAATTGCTTTCAGTTTTAATTTCCTCTGAATTCTAATAAAATCTTCACAGGAAAAGAACAATGGTCTAACCTCTCTCTCCCGAGCCAACCGATCCATCCACGTGTTCACTCAAGGTGTGCACCCTCATGCCTGGCTGGCACTGCGTGTGGCTCTGAACTCAGTCAGTATCACTACTAGGACCAGCCAGGGACAGGTCACAACTGTCCTAGATTATCCAGATGCTTGTGAGTGATTCTAGGGAGATAATGAAGCTATTACATTTAGGAGGAACTGTTGACAGGACCCGCCGAGTGTCTTCTGCCTCTCAGAATAGTAACTAGGGCTCAAAAAGGCTGGAGTCCTTCGTCCTGCCACTCTCAGCTCTGCTCTTCCAAGCAGCCCCCATTTCCCAGTGTATACATTGAAATGCAGTCTGTTGTATACATTTTCTCTACATACACAATACATCTGTCTGCCCTAGATATACACAGCCATCATCCAACTTTAAACACCAGGCTGGCTGTACAATGTGGGTGGGTTGAGTTTGGACCTGACCAGGACAAGGCCATGCACCCATGCATATTTAATAGTCCTGTCTTGACAGTCTGCCATTACAGCAAATGTGAAAAAAATAAACAGGGACAGAACTTTTTTTTTTTTTTCCCCAAACTCTACATCAAAAGTTATTGAGTGATTTTGCTGTGCAATAGCAGAGGTAGTGGTAACCACAGAAAAAGCTCTAAGCTCTAACTTACTCTGTGCGAAGTAGTTCATACGCTTCATCATCTCTTAGGACCTGTCAAGCTCAGTTAGTTGGGTGGACATGGATTGCCTCAAATGGCACTTGCTAGGCTTTTGTTTTCCAAACACACTACACCTGTTCTTTGGAAGGTTAATCCCAGGAGATAAAATGTTTGGAGGTTGATTTGGGGCTTACCAAGTTGTTCTCCTTTAAAGCCCAGTCTCCAAAGTAAAAACAGAGACAGAGTTCAAAGGTAGATTTCCTATCAGAGCAAACCTAAGCTTCAGTTAAACTTCTGCTAGACATTAACCAAAAGTGAATACAATTATTTTTAAGCAGAGAACGTACTTCTGTTCACAAATAAGGCTGTTTCTCCATTTACCTTGAGACTCCCAAACTCAGGGTGTCCAATGTGCGGGACTGCACTGACAGCCTGCCCAAAGATACTGAGTGGCGTGGACTTTCAGGGGGTTCTCCTGAGGCCTTGAGGAAGGTCATTGCTCTGTGTAGTATTAGCATGCCAATGAAGAACGCATGCATGGTGATGTCTAGGACAAGAGGAAAAAATGAACAAAAAATACCAGCATCTTTTAAGTTTCTAGTCTCCCCAGCAATGAGCCAGGGTGCAAATAGTTGAAAAAAAAAAAAAAAGGCATCTTTCTGGCTCTGGCAGTTGAAAGGACTGGTCCTGCAACAGCTCAAGTGTAATAAGAAGCAGGATACAATCGAGTGTTTGTTTACATGGAGGGGATGGTGACAGACCACCTGGGAAGTTTAAGAATTTCAAGGAGGTGATCTGTTCTGTAGGGTAGTAAGAGAAGGTATGTAGGCGGACTCCTAACAAGGCCCCAAGATCCTCATCTCTTGGTGTGCATGCTCTGTTTAATCCCTTGTCCTTGAGTGTGGGTGGACCTGACCAAATCAAGTGAATCCTTTTCTCTAAGAGTCTAGAGGTCAGAGACAGAAGAAGTCAGTGATTTCAAGCTGCAGCAGATGGTCTCCTGTTTGCCTCAGGGAAGCAAACTGCTATGTTGTAGACAGGATCATGTGGCAAGAATGGCTGATAGGCTTTAGTAGCTGGGAGAGGCTCCAGGAAGAAAGTAGGGACCTCCATCCTACAGCCACAAGGAGCTGAATTATGCCAACTGCCTTGTGAGCCTGAGGACCTGAACTCTGGAAAGAAACCTTGATTTCCGTCTGGTAAGGCCCTCAACTGAGAACCTATCTAAGCTGTGCCTGGACTCCTGACCTACAGAGAATGTGAAATAGTGAATGAATGCTGTTTTAAGCCAATAAGTTTGTGGGAATTTTTAATGCAGCAATAGAAAATGAAAGCAGAAGGCCTTTTCGACCAGAAATAACTTGAGCAGAGCCCAGAAGAATATGCTGACAACTTGAAGAAGTTTAAAGAGGGTGGGAAGCAGTTAAGCTGTGGGCAAAGGAAGAGATAGGAAAGATAAGCAAAGACCCAGAAGTAATCCGGCACATGGTCGGATGCATTAAAGATAATGTCATGAACAAAGAGACCTTCACCTCCTTATTCCTCATTTTGATGCAAGTAGCATGTTTATCTGGTGAGCAGGTCATGGGTCACCATGCTCATGATACATGAGAAAACTGGGATCTAGAGATGTTGTTTGTGAATCCCAGTTGTGTGTATAGATGATTAACCAGGGGCAGAGTTAGTTTTCTGAAGTGAGAATCTGATTGAAGCTTATGAAATGCTTCTCATTCCTGCAACCCAGAAGATCAGATCTAATTCCTCAACCAGAGGAGGAGCCCTTCCTTTCTCCCCCTGCAGCCTCCCTCTTGCACTCTGGCCAAGCCAACGTGCACACGCACGTGCACATAGCCGCTCTCGCCCACATTCCTGCAGCGGGCAGAGGGGTCTCTCCACGTGGATTGCCTTTCCCAGCTCTTACCCTCCCCCACCCTGCCTCCCATCCCATGCTCACTCAGTTATAATCTTCCATTCTTTCTTTAAGATTCGAGTCAAAAGTGATTTCTCCTATGAGGCCTTCCCCTGTGTCCCCACTTAGCACCCCAGGTATAATTTTTCCTTAATGATTCTGTAAGACATTGAGCACGCCACCGTTATCACTTAATAATGATAACAGCAATAATCCTGATAATTGCTCACATTTTCTGGGTGTGTATCTAAAGCCATATACTGTCCCTTTTTACACTCGTTACCACGATGTATTTTTACCACACTTTTTGCATGTTTACAAGCTTCTCTACTAAATGGTGCATCTCTCAAAGCCAGAGATGATGGCTTTTTCATCTTTGTATCCCCCAGAGCTTTACAGAGTGTAGAAGGCACTCAAAATATATTTAATAAATGAGTTAGAAGAGTCAGAAGTAGGGCTGGGATTCTGGTCTATGGATCATGTTGCAAAATTACATGCTGCCATACCATCACAGTAAAATGAATGTCCAAAGTCTTTGCGGAATTACAAAATACTTTTGAGTGGAAGGTATAGAAGACCAACTCATTTCCCCGCTCTGAGCTTCTTTCTTATTTCCCACCCATTTCTTGCTGCCAAAAGTATTTAGATTATGTAAAAGATTATAAGTAGTTCTTATCTACTTTATCTAGCCCAGGAACCCAAGAATATAAACAGGAGTGAATATATGTTCATGACGGTGTGAAGGATCAAGAAGGCTGGAACCAGGGTATCCAGTGAGCAGGGCGTAGCGGTCTGGACACGTGGGTAGAGAACGCAGGAATCCCAAACAGCAGAGGTAAGCAAGCTCCCAGGTCATGCACCCAAAAAGACTTAGTCCTTAGAATTCTGTGCTGAACTCCAAGCATCGCTTTGGTTAACAAGGCAGTTGATGTGTCTCTTAAAGGAGCTTTCATAAACTCATTATCAATTATGTAAGTGGAATTCTCCTTATTCAAGTCCTGCTATTTAGAGATGGGTAACAGCATCATTCTGAATAGCACTCTTTTACTTTTACTCTCTTGCTTTTGTATTTATAGGCAAAAGTTGAATATTAAATCAGCTACCAGCAACATCACATTCTGCTCTACTGACCCTAAGTCTCAGCTAAAAAAGTCAGAGGCAAGAATTTTTTCCTCTCAATTTAATACAATAGACTCTATCAGGACTTCATGCTTCTTATCTTTTTTTTTCCCAAACAGCAAGGTACACAGTTCTTTCTCTGTTTCACAATTGCCTGTGCCTTTGCTCCAAATCTCCTGCCTTCTCCTTATCCCTCTCCCTCTCTCCCTCCTCCTTCCCACTCACGGAGCACAGATAGCTAGAATGTCTCTAAAGGTGGGCTGCATAAGCAAATATTAGATGGGATGAGAAAGGAAGAAAAACTATTAGCATCTCACTTGCATAGTTGGCACTGGGCTTAGAAAGAGCAATTTAAGGACAATTAGAGGTAACCCTTAGGAATAGTTAGCGAGACCCTACTTTATTTTCTCTGGAGGAAAAAACAATCTCATAGCGTTTTACCTGAAGAGAATAATAGCCTATTCTTTCAGATTATGTTTGAGAATAATTCTTGCCTCCCACCCAGTTCAACTCAAGAAACCTTATGGAAAGCAGGATCAGGTACCAGAAGGGACACAGAGATGGAAAGAAATAGTCACTACCCTCCAGAAACTGACAATCTAGTAGCAGACTATGATTAATTGATATATAAATAAATAACTCTGAATAAAGCAGAATCGGGATAAATGCTACATAAGAGATGAAGGCAAAGATGTGTAAATAAGAAAAATTATGTATTTGGGGGGGAGCATCATGAGATGCGTCTTCTAAACTTCCTTTTTCTGGAACATGGACAATCAAAAGTTATTACAGCTAAAATTAAGGAATAATGGGGGAAAAAAGTATTGTTTCCTACTATCAAATGATGATTGCATTCTTAAGAAATATCACATTATCAAAAATAGCATAACAAAAATTATTCTAATGGAGGAAAAAGATAGTTGAGGCCAGACACTTTTAGATGTGTAATGATAGTTATTTTTCCTCCAGAAATTTCAGCAATTGAAAATGTTTTTACTAGGTCTAAGTGTATTTTGTTATTTTAGGCAATATCTTGGTTCATCAAAACTGACAAAAAGCAAACCTAAATAAGGGCACATCTGAGCAGTACATAAAATAAGACCAAAACGTGTAAGTTCTGAGACTATCAAAATCAATTACGGCCCCATTTGTGGCTGATTGCCTTACTCGTTGCTAAATATTCTGGTTTCAACTCCCGGCAGTGCCCCTCCCTGTGAGATGATGATACTTAACCAGCTCTGTTCAACTCCTGAGCGACCATTTGCCTGGCTTCGGCCAGTGAAATGTAGGCAGACGAGACAGACGTTGCTTCTAAGCAGGGGCTCTCAGAGCTCTGCCATGTCCTCTCCCTCTGCCACCACTACCAAGAGGACCTGAAAAAGAAAGTGAAAGTCGCTCAGTCGTGTCCGACTCTTTGTGACCCCATCCCTGGGATTCTCCAGGCAAGAACACTGGAGTGGGTTGCCATTTCCTTCTCCAATGCATAAAAGTGAAAAGCGAAAGTGAAGTTGCTCAGCCACGTCTGACTCTTCATGACCCCATGGACTGCAGCCTACCAGGCTCCTCCGTCCATGGGATTTCCCAGGCAAGAGTACTGGAGTGGGGTGCCATTGCCTTCTCTGAACAATGGTAATAAGGTGAAGTTAAATCTCCATTTTCTAGATAAGAAAACTGAGAGCCAAAAAGGTTAAGTGATCTGCCAAGAGTAATTCACCTATACATGCCAGAAGCGGGAACCTAAGTTAACTCTGTTTGGTTCCAAATCTTGTCTTCAAAGCATTTTTCCACAGGGCTAATCAAGGAATAAACCACAACTCTGAAGCCATAAAAAGTAGGGTGATGCTAATGTGATCTCAATTAAGTCACTCAGCCTCCCTGAGGCTTGGTTTTCTCATCTGTAGAATGGAGATAGCATTATCTCCTGCGTCCTCAGAGGACTCAAATAGACAGATAGTTCCCAGCATGCTCTCTGGTATGTATCAGCCCTCAGCTAACGACCCATATAATCAGCGGCCATCCTAACACAGACTAGGTATACAAGCTTAGACTGAAGAGAGAGAAACTCGCTCTGGGGTCCCTGGAGAAAGCAGCGCCCTCCTGGGTCCGCGTGAGGCCAGGACGCAGCAGGGACCTGTGATGGTAGGGATTCAGTGCCCCCAGCACGATAAGGGTCACTGCTGAGGAGAGGGCCACAGGGCCGGTGCCGGGCAGACACAGAGCCAGCTCTGCCCTCGGTCTAACAGGCGAAGCACAGCCAGCCAGGGACAGCCGTCAGCGGGCCTCCTAACAGATGGACCCATGAGACAGGGGAACAGGTTGGGCCCCAGCGGCCAGAGAGAGACCTTAGAGGGACAGGGCCTCTCTCTGGATGAGGGCAAAAAGAGATCTGCGAACAAGAGCGAGCTGGTGACATGCATGGCCCCTGACTAGCAATGAGCTGATGGCAGCAGCTTACGGGACTAATGACAGGAGGTAATGATGATGGAAAGCACTTAAGCAATGGGCCTCAGGTAGCCGTTGTGGTTGCTGAAAGGCCTCCGCCACCAAACAAAGCAATTAGTCAGTCACCCCGCCACCCGGCCCTCCTCCGCCCGCCTCCCTTTTCCCACCTTTGCAGACCTTCGGCCATTCATCCCTTTGTCTGGGCAGCCCAGCCTGCAGCAGCCCGGGCCCAGCAGACAGACACGTACCAGCTGGAGCCCAGCCCATCCCGGCTGCCTCTCCAGCCCGCAGTGCCAACGGCGGCCCGGGTTACAAAGGAGGACGGGCCTCGGGGAGCCCTTTCTGTCTCTGCAGTTTTGCCATGAATTTTACATGAAAATCTACCTGTGTGTGTGTCCGTTTCTCTGTATGGCCCTGTCTTTTCCCATAACACAAAGAAGAGACTTACTGGCTTTGGCAGCTGGGAGGGCGGCTCTCAGCTGCAAGTTAGAAAACAGTTTTGAACATGGACCTTTCTCTACCCAAAAAGGAAGATGACTAGGCTAGGAGCTGAGGATGCCTGAGTTCTTATTCTTGGCTTCTACTCCTTTAAGACTTCCCTTAAGCATGCCCACTCTTGGAATCTTTCCTTCGTCCTTGCAGACTGTCCTCCTGATCTACTCCATTACAGCAGGTACTGTGAGATAATCTTACAAGGTCATGACTACTTCTCATCTACCTGTCTATCTTCCTTCCTCTCAAGACGGTGAGCTCGCAGATGGCCAGGACTATGTCTGTTCTTTCTCCCCTCAGCCTCCAGCATCTTGGTGCTACACATCACCTTGGTCAAGTTTCTGAGATACCCAACATCCAAATCCACAAAGTAGGCGTAATAATATCTGTCCTATTATATGTTCCAGTTTGGTATTTGGGGATCAAATATGAGAGCAAAACTGAAGAGTGTTTGGAAATGTAAAGCAATAAATAAATTATGAATGTCAGACACTGTGCATCTCTGCTTTCTGCATTCACTCATACAACATTTTTGAGCACATTTTCTGTATTAAGCATTTTGCTGGCACAGGCAGAAGCGCCTTTTGAAGTTTCTCCCACTAAACTCACTGTCTCATTCCCTCCAGCCTTGCACTGAGCCTCTGGTTATGGCCCAAACCAGTGAAGGTGCTACTGATGGGGTTTGTCTCCCCTTGCTAATGTCTACACCAAAACCCCAGAGTTATTGTCTGCCATTCATGAAAACAACAATCCTATTTTGTTGCGGAACAAAGAGGGCATGGGACCAAGCATAGAGAGAAAGGATAAAATATAAAATGGGCAAGGTATAGTCTTCCCCCTTAAGAAAATAGAGCATAATATAAACAGAAAGTGAAAAGAGTTGGAAAATATCCACTAAAGAATGATGTCACAATTCAGAGAAGGACAAGCTTTCATTAACTGATCCATTAGAAAAGCCTGAAGGAAGTGGGTGACATTTGAGTTTGATCATGAAGAAATGAAAGATTTCAGAAGGCAAGGATTGTGCAAAAAAAAAAAATTATATTCTCAGAAAAATCAGAATTATGGCTTTCCTTAGAGCATCAATCCTCAGCTTCATTGTACTAATGAGAAAATCGAGGCAAAGCGAGATTCAGTAATTTGTTCAAGATCAAGATCACTTAGTAACTGGCAGGGCTGGGGTACAAATGCTGCAACCCATGCTTTGGTAAGTAAATGGCATACTAGAGCTGGCATGAAGCAAAAAAGACAGAGGGCAAGAAAAATGAGAAAAAATGATAGGCTGGGAAGAAAAAGAGCGAAAAAATGAATTTTTAAAAACAAAAATTGAAAAAAAAAACAAACTAACAAACAAAAACTGAAATTCCCAGAGAATGGGAGACCATTTAGGAAGCCACTACAAAAGTCTAGAAGCAAAATAATTAAAACCTGGTCCAAAGTGGTAACTGCAGGGGTGGGAAGAAATGGGAGCGTCTGGAAAGGTGATGTGTTAGTCCAGTTGAGCTGCTGTGACACAATGTAAGTCTGGGTGGCTTAGGAGCGACAGAAACTTGTCTCTCACAGTCCTGGAGGCTGCAAGCCTGAGCTGAGGGGGCCAGCGCAGCTGGGCTCTGGGGAGAACCCACGCCCTGCTCACAGACGGCCGTCTTCTCCCTGTGTCTTTGCAGTGCTCTGTTACGAGAACACTAGTGCTATCCACGGGCTTCCATGGTGGGCCAGCTGGTAAAGAACCTCCCTGCTGATGCAGGAGATGCAAAGAGACATGTGTTCAATCCTGGGTCAGAAATCTGTGGAGATTTCTTAAAAAGCTGGAAATAGAACTGCCATATGACCCAGCAATCCCACTTCTGGGCATACACACCGAGGAAACCAGATCTGAAAGAGACACGTGCACCCCAATGTTCATCGCAGCACTGTTTATAATAGCCAGGACATGGAAGCAACCTAGATGCCCATCAGCAGACGAATGGATGAGGAAGCTGTGGTACATATACACCATGGAATATTACTCAGCCATTAAAAAGAATTCATTTGAATCAGTTCTAATGAGATGGATGAAACTGGAGCCCATTATACAGAGCGAAGTAAGCCAGAAAGATAAAGACCATTACAGTATACTAACACATATATATGGAATTTAGAAAGATGGTAACGATAACCCTATATGCAAAACAGAAAAAGAGACTCAGATGTATAGAACAGACTTGTGGACTCTGTGGGAGAAGGCAAGGGTGGGATGTTTCAAGCGAACAGCATCAAAACATGTATATTATCTAGGGTGAAACAGATCACCAGCCCAGGTTGGATGCATGAGACAAGTGCTCGGGCCTGGTGCACTGGGAAGACCCAGAGGGATCGGGTGGAGAGGGAGGTGGGAGGGGGGACCGGGATGGGGAATACATATAAATCCATGGCTAATTCATCTCAATGTATTTCAAAAACCACTGCAATGTTGTAAAGTAATTAGCCTCCAACTAATAAAAATAAATGGGAAAAATAAATAAATAAATAAATAAAAATAAAAATAAAACAAGTGCCATTACAAAAAAAAAAAAAAAAACCCTTGGAGAAGGAAATGGCAACCCATTCCAGAATTCTTGCCTGGGAAAACCCCATGGACAGAGGCGCCTGGGGGGCTACAATGCATGGAGTTGCAAAGAGTCAGACACGACCGAGTGTGTACACACACAATCCTACCCACGGGGTCTCTGCCGTCAAGACCGAATCACCTCCCATTACCGTCACCTCGAGAAACAGGTTTCCACAGATGAATCCGGGGGGAACAGAAACATTTAGTCCATAGCAGATGACTTAACAGGCTTTGATTATTGAATGGAACAAGATGGAGGGGAGTAGAATCCTGAGATTTCAAGCTTAGAGAAAACAGAATATAGTTTAAAAATCTGCGTTTTCCTAAGCCTACCATCCCGTTTCCCAGATTATGAGCAGGTCTCCATAAGGGACCAAAAGGCACCCATTGCCATTTTTCCCTGACTGTGAGAAAAGAATGCTGGCAAAGGAGAAATAGGGAATGATCGCTTTCACTGTAGGTCTCATTTATCACAGCAACAATATTATAAAGTCAGTAAATAATTGATCTCAGATGAATAAGGAGGTTTTGGAGTTATACAGCCCATCACACCCAAGGGAACATCCAACAGGGTTATGCCATTCTGACTGTTCACAGCGATCCTTGGATGTGTAAACATCTCTAAATTCTGTCTCCAAATCAGAAGGCACTAGCTTTGTTGAGAGTCACCATGTTCAAATCTAGGATGTGCCCAAACACGACAGAAGCATTGTTTTCTGTCCCTCGGCTCTCCGTAT